TTTTTTGTTTCCATTGTTTTTGTGGTTGTTGGAATATTCTTGTTTCATTTTATTAACAAATTAATCAAAAGATTCTTTACACAGCATATTTTTGATATATTTTCTTGTTTCTCCAGACAGAAAAAAAAAAGACCTTTTCACCATGTTTTCAGGAATCAGATTGATATATTTATAAATCTTTAGAAACTTCAATAATATAACACAGAATCGAGCTGGGGATTTTAAAGAATGTAAGTGCTACTTAAATGGAGATTTCTAGGCTCAGAATACAGAAACTACTTTGGGCTGTTCCCTTATTCACAAGGGGTCGCCACAGCAGGTAGCTCCACATTTGGTTTGGCAGTTTTTATGCCGGGTGCCCTTTAATGCTGCAACTACAAAGGGATTTGTGTGTCCTCCCAGGACTGAACTGGGGATTTTTTCACCTGTTAGGTGAATGCATCAGGCTCAGAATATGTGAGGGGAAAAAATCAAAGCAACCTTTAAAGATATACATTGTAAAATGTTCTTATAAAACTTTAAGAGGTAAGTTACTATGAAAGTTCCCCTAATAATTATTGACATAAAAAAGGTTTGGCATTGCACTTTTCCCGAAATTTTATATTTAAATATGCAGATGAGCTGATGTATTATCTAATATGCATTCATTTGCATAGATAATGCAATGGAGAAAAAAGTGTTTTCTGCCTGTAATGTCTCGCCTTAATAGTTCATGTTATTATGTCTTACTAACAAAAGAAAATAGAAAACAGAAGCATGTTTTATTTCCAAGAACAAAGGAAACACAGTATTTTTTGCAATATTTGGCTGTTTCTAATGACTGAAGTGACACTGAGCAAATACAAATACATAAAGGAAATACTGTTGCTTCGGAACAAAAGTCAAACAAAAACGAATAGCGTGAAATTTGAAGACAACATTGTGCGCTGCTCCAACAGACTTTATTATACAGTAAAATCGTCTGCTTCTTCCTCACGCTGAACCTCTGATTAAACTTCTCAAAAACCTCACTGGAAGGATCCCTGAAAGCCAAACCTTTGTTCTTTTTGCATAATAAGGCTGAAATCGGTAACTACATTTACAGCACGTCATAGTTTGTGATTACAATTGAGTCACATCAAAGGGCCACTTGAAATAGATACATTATAATATTAATGCTCAAACACTGATACACTGCATTAGGCTTGACTGCAGTACAGTGAAAGAAGCCACAGTTGATGCCAAAAATAATTATGTTAATTCTTTCTAGCAGCTGTGCAGACATCTTTTCTTTTTTTTTTTTCTTCATGTAAAATCAGAAAATATATACCTGTATCAAACTGTTATCTCTTTACAAATTCACTAAAGTGCTCTCGCGACTCACGCCATTCATCTGTGTGGATCACCGGTGACTAAATCTCCAACTTTCCCTCTTTATCTCCTTAAGATACAATGTAGATAAATGATCTGAGTGTGCGTTAAAGGATGGAGCAAATCAGACTCTCTCTCTTTCACACACACACACGCACACACACTACGCTAGTTAGCTTTAAGATCCAAAATGTAATAAATGTTGTCCTTATAAAAGTATTTTTCACAATTTAGACCTTTACATTATCTCCATTATGTAAAATAACCTTGTATTAAGCTGCAGATTTCTGCTTCTCTATCCTTGGTCACGGATGCTCTTCCTTATTCATGTGTCCCAGCAGGATTGAAATGGAGTCTATACAGTTTTCCTTATGTTGTAGGAATTTTTAAAAAATCATCCATCTGTCTGTTTCACTCTCACTAGAGTCAGTTCACATCTTTGCTTCTCAGAAAGTCCAGAACCTTTTTTCCTTGTTTGTGATACAAAAACGAATGCTTTTCCTCTCTTTTGCACCCACACCCTGTGTGCTGTTTATTAACTGCTTCTGAACACGTCACAAAAGAGCTGACTCTAACGTACTTTTCTGCTTTGGAGAGGCATCAGTGATGCCAAAGGAATTTCATGACTGTGACTCTCACATTCTCTGTGAACAATTTAGAAAATGTGATGATGAAATTAGAGAAGCATTCAGTCACACACTATTTCTCTTATTTTCATAATGTGTACATTGTTGCTCTGACGGCATCGCATACTGAAGGGGCTTTTTAATGCAAGCAAGAGTCCAAACAAACTGTGGGTTACATGCAAACCGCAATAAAGAGAAAACCACTTAAAGTGCAGGCAGTAGCAGTAAATACAGACTATATCAGTAAGGAAAGTATTTGATGTACAACTAATCTTTTGTTCTCTAAGGCAAAGCATGACACAGACTCTAAAAATCTTATAAGTTTTGATATCCAATGCGAGGTTGAGACTGAAATGTTTTAAAGTAAAGTCAGTGTTGTGCCTGGAGAGGTTTGGAGTCTTTTCTTAATGCCAAACGTGGCTGAAAGTTTCAGATTGATGTTGTTCCGTTCATGCTGGCGGGTCTGCGGCCCCTGCCTGCACCCTGACGTCGAAGTGAATGGAGAGCCACAGCACAGCAACCTCTCAGCAAGGACCCGATGTGGTACACCGGCATGACCTCCTGTGGTGCTCCTCGGCACAGCCATGCCATGGTTGGAACCACCGGCACTGCCAAAGCCAAGAGATCTACTAGGAAGTAGCGGCTCCAGTGGCACCGCTGAGCGGAATGACCTTCTTCACCAGCTCCTCCATTTTCATCCTTATTATCTTCTTCTATCTCCACTACTGTAGCTTCCTGCTTAACTGGTAGTGGAGCTATAGGGTGGGGCTGGCAGGTCTGAGGTCCCGCTGGTTTGTCCGGTTCTGATGGCTCTGCATTGTAAATATACTGAGGAAGGGATAGAGGAGGTAAAGATGATGGAAATCGTTGTTGTTCTGATGGGGTTATGTCTGCTGAGACTAAAGAAATTACACTTGGGCCTTCTGCACTGCTTTCTTCACAAAGCCAGGTCATGGTGGGGCTGCAGGCCTGGGAGCGGACCTCTGGTTTCTTCTCTGCTGCAGGAACAGGAATGGGGTTAGACTCAGTAGCAGAGACTGCAGCAGCTGTAACCGGGACTGCAGCAGCCGTAACCGGGACTGCAGCAGCCGTAACCGGGACTGCAGCAGCTGTAACCGGGACTGCAGCAGCTGTAACTGGGGCCTCCTCCTGAGGTAAGTGCAGAAACAAGTGATGGTGGGGGAGGTAGGTGTGTCCACTGCACCTGCAGCTGCTACTGAGAGTGTGGCAGGAGTGTGAGATTGGCAACACAGCCCCACCGCTGCACAACCTTTCATAGGTGGAAGAGCGTGGCACAGCTGGGGGGCCTCGGATGTGGCTCTGTGCCGGCAGCTGCTCTGACAGCAGGGCCGCCTCCAGGAGCAGGTGAGTTTGTCCTGCTGTTTGCGATGCTCCGCTTGGCTCGGGAGCACTTGAGCCGCGCTCCAGCTGCAGAGCCTCGCTGCTCAGTCTGGAGTGGGCGGCGCTGCGGGTTAAAGTGCTGGCTGGGGAACATCCACAGGAGCGAGACTTCCCACCTGGCCGACCTCCCTGCAACCCTGAGAATGGCTTGTGGTCATGGGAGTCTTGTTGCCGTACACCCAGGTTGGACCTTACCGACTCAACCACCTCCTGGAGATGCTGGATCTCCTTGCGGGCCTCTTTTAGGGCTAACTGGGCCTCGACACGGTGGCATTCCTCTTCTATCCAGTCTTCCTGCATCCTGTACAGCTGTGCCCTTAACTCATCTATTTCACAGTCCCTGATGAGGAAGTAAAGATTTTTGAATAGCAGTTATTTTTGCAGAGTCACTCATACACAGACACAGTGTAGGGAAGCACTAGGGAAGTGCAAAAAATGAAATAGCATTCATACAACAACAACTGCAACCACAACAAGGAAAGTAGGCGTATAGAGAAAAAGACTAACCTGTGCTGTAGCCTTTCCACATTTTCCCTCAGTCTGGCTCGCAGGTGTCGTATACACACCTCCTTCTGTTGAAGGGGTGTAAGGTACTGCTCTGGGGTCGGGGGCCTGATCCCATGGTTGTCGCTGCAAGCTGTGTGCTTCACCTGACGTCTGAATCACATGTGAATGAAAAAGGATGGATTTAATCACATATGATGAGTATAAATTGATAGCTGACTGACAGTGAGTAGTAAAGTATAGTAGCATTAAACAGAAATCTGGTGATATAAAATAAAACACAAACCAATCCAACAACCTTCCAATAAACCCTTACTCTAGATTAATATCAGCCCGTTTTTGCTGACATTGTGTCAGCACTGGTAATTCAGTTCAACAGTTATTGCAGAAGCCGAGGGGTGCTGAAGTCTCAGCTGGCAAATCCCCTGTAAGAGCGTGCCAGTCTGACACAAGACTAACACATTCAGACAGTCAGTTACATCCATGGCTTTGGGCAATTCCGTGTGCAGTCCATTGAACTTGAATGTTTTATGAGAAGATGACTGAGTATAAAAAGATCTGGGGTAATTTTAGTAACATTTTGGTGTCTTATTTTCCGACTGTTAGACTACAGGAGTGTAAGTTGCATGTTACCTGGGGGTACTGGGATAAGTCCGGGCTGTAGGACTGCCCTCTGGTGGCCTAACTCGACCAGGGTAGGTGTGAGTACTTGATGTGTCGCTGTGGGAATATCGCCCGCTGCCGCCACTAGTTCCCACCGAGCGCCTTGTTGGGAGATCAAATTATTACTTAATAATATTATTATTAATAATGACAAAAATCTGATTTCAATCAGCACAACTATAATCGTAAGAGGATTTTTATTTCGATGTGCAAAAATTTATAACTGGAGAAAATTTTAAAAAAGCAAACATCAATGGCAACAGATACAAGACAGAGTCGAGACGCACATTCAAGAAAGAGCTGGGGTGGAAGTGGGTCGCAAAGCAGCTTGCAGATATGCAGCAACTGTAAGCAGGCTGAAGCAGCTTAAATAGCATGCCCTATATGAGCCAATTTGATGTGTAGAAAGATAGCTGCTGAGCTGGTAGGTGCTGATTTGCTGGGGTGACAGCTGAGCTTGAACTAATGCTACACTCAATACGTAATATTTTTTGCCATTTGGCTGAAAAAAAAAAGAGAGAAAAATGAGAAGAAACAGTACCTGCGCTGACCTGAGGAGGGCTTTCGACTCGGAGTTAGAGACATCGATGTGCAAAGGAATGTCCAACGTCTCCACGGCTCTCTCTAGAGAGGGACACTAGGAGCCCTCAGAGCTGCGCTGTAATCACCGTTACAGACACAAACATATCACAGGTAAAACCAGCATGAAGAAAACTGAAATCCAAAACCTGACAAGGAGCGTGTTTTGCTTCTAAAACACTGTGTCTTGTGTGCGGCCATTATGTGGCTCTAGGCTGGAAGGCAGTGACAAAAGTCTAACGCTAACACTTGTAAAAGAAATAGTCTAGGCAGCAGCAGATAAAGCCTCCTTTCTCTGCTGACACAAAGGCGACACAGTAAGTCTACAATCAGCGCAGCTGCCTCTCTCTACGTTGTGTCCTCCCTGTCTGCAGAGCTGCAGGCAAACATGATGAAACTTCACATTAACTGCTATAAAAAGCTATAAAACAGAGACAAAGCCTCACTTTTGGTGGCTGGCAGAGTCAACAGTCACTGGGGTTATCAACTGTTCACAAATACTTAAATAGTGGAACAGAGATGGTTCCTGCATGTGTTTGTACTATTGTAATTTTAACTGTGTTAATCTCTATATTTAATTTAATATATTTCATTCCTGTCTTCTCCAACATGAAGGTTTGAATCAGTTTGAATCCCTTCTTCACAACAGCAGGTTTAAAATGTTAATGTCAGCCGTGGTATTAAAACTCAAAACAACCTGACTAGTGACTGAAATACTGGGCTGGCCCACCTTTTGCCCTCAGAACTGACTTATTCCTTGCTTTCCTTCCATCTTTCAGTAAGGTCCTGGAAACACTTCTCGGAGATGCAGCTGCTGCAGATTTGTTAGTAGGACATTCCTGATGAGAATCTACTGTTCCACTCTAACATCCAAAAGGCGTTCTATTGGACTGAGATCTGATGAATGTGGAGGGCACTTGAGTACAGTGAACTCACTGCCATGTTCGAGAAACCAGTTTGAGATTATTTCACATGGCGTGCTATCCTGCAGCAAGTAGCCATCAGAAACTCAATACACTGTGGTCATAAAGGGATGGATGTAGTTAGCAACAGTAAGTGTTCCAAGAAAATATCACCCACATCATTGCACATACACCGGCATGAACCATTAATACGAGACAGAATTATTTCAATCTGCTAATATCCGATTTTAGTGAGTTTGTGTGAATACTAGCCTCAGTTACCTCTCCTTGGCTAATAATAATAATAAGAAGAACTTTGATGTGTATAGCATTTTCAAGATACCCAAGGACACTTTACAAAAGAGTAGAAAGCAAAAAGGCTGACAGGAGTGGCACTTGCTGTGGTCTTCCGCTGCCCTAACCTGTCTGCTTCAAGGTTCAACATTTTGTGTTTTCAGAGCTGCTCTTCTGTATATATTATAATATAATGAGTGGTTATTTGAGTTACAGTTGCCTTCCTCTCAGCTTGAAGCAGTCTGGCCATTCTTCTCCGATCTGATTCTCCTCTGATCAACAAGAAATATCCACCCAGATATCTCCTGCTCACTGGATATTTTCTCTTTTTTCATTAATTCTCTGTAAACCATAGAGATGATCATGTGGGAAAATCCCTCAGTTTTAGAAACCAACAACTTGAGTTTAAAATCACTTAAATCTGCCTTCCCTCCTCATTCTAATGCTCAGTTTAAACTTCAGTAAGTTGTTTTGGCCATGTCTACATTCCTAAATGCACCGAGATCCTGGCTTGTGGTTTGGTGTGGAGATATCTGAGTTCAAGAGTAGATGAACAGGTTACCTAACAAAGTAGCCGGTGAGTGTATATTGGATTGAAAGCAAGTATTGCGTATTGACTTTTTCAGAATTTAGACTTGTTCGGTTTATTATTATCAGATATTTCATAACTGCATCTTCCCTAACTTTGATACTTATTTTTAAAACATTTAAATGTTTCTACAAAATATTGTATGGTACAATTGAGAGCCTTATATCTGCTTTTTATTTAAAGTTTATATTTAGATATTATAATAACTGTGATTGTAAATCAGGCTACGTATTTACTAATTTAAGCAGTTTGATACATGTTGATAATGAAAAAGAATCTAAATACATATACATTCCCTGAATTTAATTATCCCATAGGTAAAAATATTTTTTCGCAGATAAATCACTTGTATAATCAAGGTGATCTAATGGTAGCTACAGCCCATTTCTGTTCAGCCCAACCAGCAAAAAATCCAAGATGAGGACAAAATGTTCTCATCTGTTTTCAGAAGTCTCACAGCTCTGCGTAAAGCTTAAGGAAACCTGCTGATCCACGCTCAAAATGTACCAGCTCTTCAGGCAGCTGCAGACACAACAGACCTGTAACACTGCCGCTAATGAAAAACGCACCCAGCGAGCCGGAAGCGTCTCATTGTGCCCTATATTTAATTTCTAGGACGACGAGGCAGGAAATCTCACCTCCCTCTCCTCCGTCTGCGCAACAAGTGCTAAGAGCTGGCGAGAAATACGCAATCATCTTACGTAAGTGTGAGTTTCGGTGTTCACTGTGTAGGCGAGCAGCATCAAACAGCCGGTGCATAAAACTGTACTCAAAGCAGCATTTAGGCACTCTGCAGAGGATCCAGGAGGTGGAGGATGCCGGGAATGTTTCCGGATAAATATCACAAGGAGAGATGGGGACGGTGCGCTTTGTCCTTGAGTCATCATTACGGTATTGAATCACATGATTTTCAACATCTGTCGCCTAAAATAAGACGCTGTTAGATAAGCAGTTAAAGAAGTCTCATCACTTTCGCATGGCCAACTGACTGCAAGCGAGTCCCTAAACAGGACACCCAACACCCCAGCAGGTACTTTCTACCGAAGACAACGCTTCTAATCGAAACCGCTGACAAGCACATTTCGCCCCAGCTGTGTCCTACATACGATCATGTTGAGTAACCGTATGATACGGTTACTAAACAAGGGTATATCACCATGTCTCTGAAGCTCAAAACAAACGTTCCCTGCAGACACAAAAGACCGACAACAACCTGCATGTGAAGCGGTACCATTTGGGCAGGTGGCAGCTGTGCATCGCGGAAAAGCCTCGGTTTCTGCCTGACTTAACGGTCCCCGGTGGCAGCAAGAAGAAAAGATGCTGGTGGTGCTGATGAGGGTCCATCCTGCAGCCATGAAGCCCGCAGATTAATGAGGCGACTGCGTCTGCTGCATCGCTGCTTCTTAAAGTGACAGCAGGGAATCATAAAGCCTCATCCGGCAGGATTTACCCGCATGTCTCCGTTTTCTGACAGGTGAATCCTTTATTCTAATAAAGACAAGCAGGCTGCTGAGCACCCTGTTCAACAACCCAGGTGACGGACGGACTTGCAGAAAGAAAATCATGCTCCAATTCACAGATAGAGCAAAGTTTGTTTGCATAGAACAGAAATAAATACAAGTCTGTGCTTTGATATATGCATTTACTTTAATGCAATCCACAATGCATCAGCCAATACAAGACACAGCACGAATAGAGAAACTTCAAAATTTTCACTACTTAAATAATTAACTTTAACAACATATTTCTACCTGCTAAAGAGTCACGTTAAATACTTTGTTAAAGAAAGTTTTGAAGAATGAAGAACAGCAACATTTCAGATAAAACAACAAAGAGCTATGTGACTTTTTTTTGTGTAACTGGTCACAGAAATAACTTCTGAGATCTTGTGTCTGGAATAAATATACACGACAGAAAAAGCAGAAAGCAGACTAAAACATATAGAGAATTGAATATGTAAAATCAGAGACCTGATAAAACAGTCTGGCCAAGCATTTTAGGAAACGTGTTCCTTCACTGAAACCCAGAACAAGCAAACATATAAACAGAGTAATATGTGTTCATTTAATGCAGTTTATACTATTTATTCCAGAAGCTTATTTCAGTAACTTTAATATAATCTTATCAGAGTTAAACAGACACAGTGATTCTGCGTCATTTACAAACCCAAGCTGGCATGTTAGAAGACTGACTTCTGCTTTTTACTAATTGTAGAATTTGGGTCCAGGTGTGGCAGAGATGTCCTCATAGGGAGCGGTCTGACACAGGCGGAGGACTTCTTGTTTTTTCAGGACGAGGAAACAGAAGAAGGTGGTTGCAGCTTGCCAGCGATTGCTTCCTTCACAAATTCCCTGCAGGCTGAACGTGGGGTCTTTGCTGTCATGCTGGCTCTGCTGCAAACACAAACACACACAGACAAGAGTTTAATTTCCTGTACATCACCCCTAATCCTCTCCCATCCCTCTCATTGTTAAATTCCTGTCCACGCTGACTACAGTTTCTGATATTCAGGGTTAAGTAGAGCACGGTGCAGAAAAACACAGTACAGGGTGTCCACATTTAAAATAAACTTATTAAGTAAAATTTGATTGTCAACTAATTTTGTTACTAAATGGCTGCGATCAGATGTGCTAACCAACAGACCAGCAGGTCCTTTCTTTTTGGTAAGTATAAACAAAACTTAATCCCTTTGCATTTATGTATATGTTAATTCTCTCTTTTTAATGCATGGTGAAGTTACATTTCTGGATAGTAACAACTCAAATAAGTTTCAGAAAGAGAAACAGAGACGGCCCCGGTATGCTAAGCTTTTTCTGGACTTTGCTACTCTCCTTTAGGTCAAGAAGATTTGTTCAGTTTTATTCTAATTAGTAAAAGGATACCGTTAAACAATTCTTGAATACAACATCTCCCTAAGGCCAACAATGATGTCCAGAAGGTGGTGAGGTTATGTCATTGACATTGGGACAACTTTCATCTTGGAACCAGTATTAAAAAAAACCCCAAACCCTTTCCTAAACCTGGAAACTGGTTAGTGATTTCCTGGCGACCAAAGGTTGCTAGGGAAAAATGTGTTTTCTTCACATAGTTTCGAGTGGTTGTGGGAGGCTGCTCACACTCGCTAGATAAAACTGGTCGCAAAGAGGACGCCACACTCAAAACCTCCACGTGACTGATTTTGAACAATCAGATGTGCCCTATTTAGACCCTCAGTAGCAGGATCGCAGATGTCAAGCCAAGACTGTTAGCTGTCATTTACTCAACACTGAAATGTTTGCAGAGTAATCAGGATGTTGTTATCATATCTATACCATAACAGTCAGGTCTGAATTTTGTCTCGATCATGTGTTTTTCAGGAACCAAGTACAAATGTTAAGTCAGCTTATGTAACATCCAAACTGAAATAAGTAGACCCCATGGGACAAACAACACTCCTGTGTCCTGAACATGCATTCTTCCCATCTATTTTAATTCCAGTTACATCCAAGATGGAGTAGCTGGTGCGACTTTAATTCTAATGTCCAACCATTTATTTTTAGAGTCTTACTTTTAGAGCGTTTAGAAGCTTCTGTGCTCGCCTGGTTATCCTCCTCTCCTCAAAGTCCTGGCTATTCAGCATAGACTGGAGGTAAGAAAGGCACCATATTTCAGTCAGTGATGCTGGGCACATCGCCAAGGCAGGGTGGGAAATGAACACCCGCCATCTGTCAAGTGCTAATAGATTGGAGCTCGTCTACTGTATTAGCTATTTTCACACACAATCATCCATTATTAGTTCACTTTCATTCCACAGTTAAGGTCGGTGAGAAGCAGAGGTTGGCAGAGGACAGTTTCCTGCCCTGCTTCTATTTGTAACTGTTTGTGTCCGCAAGCACCTGAGTGTGGAGGGAAGTTGACTGCGTGCTGTGCTCCAAGTAAGGCGGGTGGACAAATATGGAGTCTTCAGATGGAAGTGATGGATGAGTAAGCTCTGACCTGTTTTCATCCTGGTAGAAAGAGCACAGATTATGAGCTATGGACAATGAAAAACAGTGAAAGCAGGGGAACTATAATAAATATTTTTTTTTTTTACATAACATGTTAATACTTACTTGTGTGAGCTGTGAGTAGCTCTCACGCTGGCTGTCGTTGACGTGATCGTGTTCAGTCAGCTCAGTGTTGTGTGTTTTTTCAGGATCAGCTGATAAATCCATGACACTGACTTCTGTAGTGAGGGCACTTCGTTCTCTCTGAGCTAAGGAGCAGGACAAAGCACATACATTAAAACAATATAGCACCAAATCACAACAACTGTCACCTCAAGGTGCTTTATACTGTAAGGTAAAGACCCTACAATAATACAGAAACAACAACAACAAAAGAAATCTATGAGCAAGCACTTGAAAGCAGTGGGAAGGAAAAACTCAATTTCAACAAGAAGAAGCCTCTGGCAGAAACAAGCTCAGAGGAAAGATCATTTTATTATAATCTTTCCTACTTTCTCCACCATTCTTTTGTCTTTTTACCCTTCTGCCTCTCAGCTTTAACTTTGTTATATTACACATGTACTGTAATAACAGAAACAACACCATAGAAATGAATAAACAAACATAAAATACCTTTATGCTCTTCGTGGCGCATCTCCTCAACATCCTCACGTACACCACGGCGCTTCACTTGGAAAAAACTCCTAGCAAAAAGCTGGAAATGTAAAATGTGACATAACATTAATAGCAGGGATTCACCTTTGTCTATGCGCCAAAATGCAAAGTTTAATCAAAATCACCTCATAAAATCAAAAAGCCTTTACTTGATTTAAACTGGCTTATCTATTATCTTCCCATGCACCTCCAGAACGCCTCGAGCATGGCTGCTATTTTGAGACCACTTGGTGGAAGTCTCATTGTGTCCTCTCGCACTATATACATCAGCAATGAATGCTGGATCTCCTGCAGCGTGTCAAAATGAGAATCCTTTAACTGATTCTACATTTTGTGCAAGTGAAGGAACTCACAGGGAAGCAAATTTGGCAAGTGACAAGTTATGATTGTTTCAGTGTGGCCAAAAGTCTCTTGCGTTTGGATCAAACAGTGTATTTGCAGTAATCATTACAGCGTTTCCACCGTATGCCCTCCCTCAGATAACTCAGTGATTTTCAGATGAAGACAATCACCAGAAAACCCAACACAAGCTAAAGCAACAAGCATGTTGCCGGTCCCACCCGTGATGCTTTTGGTCTTTCGGGCTTTACCTGAAAACTAGTTTTAGCGATCGAATTCACTATCATTACCAAAAGTTACATTAGTTTAAAAGACAAATGAATGATTCCTCTGTAAATACGTTTAAAGCTTGTCGTGAAATTGCAGAGTGCTCAGCTTAAATAGCAGCGCTGTAAGCTGACTGGAAGTGGACCAGAAAAGGTTTTTGAAGGAGAAAATCATTTATGTGACTCCCAGAAAAAACAGACAATAGTGGTGATATTATTGTGGGATTAATATTGTTGAGAATGTAGCAGGGTTTCACCTCCTTTATCTGGAGCGATAAAACAGTGGAACACGGCTGTGCAAAGAGTTTATCTGCACCTCCGCTCTCTTTCCACTGCATTAGCTGCACAGTGGGCGGGGCCATGTCCAAAGGAGTGACCAGATCTGAAAAGTCAGAAAGCTGCTTTCTGATGCATTCGTTGCTCAGCTCTTTAGTCTGATCCACCACCAACTTGCGTTTCCTCTTCCCCTTCTTCCTCTCAGAGTTTGCTGAAGAAAAACAGTTAACCATAGAAGAGTTTATGTGAGAAAAAGAGTGGCATTTCAGCTGTTCTGATGTGAGTGGCTTTTGATTGGCATGCTTGGTGCTTACGAGTGATGGGCACAGGTTCGAGAGCAAAGGCCTCCTCATTAGCGAGCAGGGTGGTCTGATTCGCCATCGGGGTCTCTACTTCCATGGAATCTGTTCCGTTAGCATCTGCCAAACATATGGGCTCTGTTCAGAGCAAACACAGCTCTTTACTCTCTTAATGAAAAACACAATTCCCTTGCGCTGCTTTACAATCAAGCGCATATCACTTGCAGCTGTTTAAATTAAATTGAAAATGTGATTTAAATAGCTAATGTAAAATACAGTCACAATGAAATATCACCTTGCTGATCATATAAAGGCGAGCTCGGCAGGTTTTCATTTTGTGGATTCTCCTGGATGAATTCTGTGGCCTCAGCATTATCACTGGACTGCGCCAGAAAATCTACAAAGTCAGTGGAGGAAAAAATAAAACATATAGTTAATATGTTTTAATTCCATTTTAATTCTGATATGTGAAAAAGCAAAAAAAGAGACCATCTGAAACCATACAACCATTCATTATTAAAAACTAAAAAGCAGATAGGAGCCATGCCGTGTCTCAAAGGCTATTTATTCTTTGTGTTACAGTTCAGATGTTGGATCCCTGAGAGAATACATGAACATGAGTCCTGTCAAGGACCTGAAGGCCCAGACAGACAGTCTCTTCTCACAAACACCAAAGCTAATAGCAGATGTGAGCAATCTAGGTCAAACATTTCAGTTTATAACCAGGACAAGGATTGCAAACACCACTGGAAAAAGGAGAGCTTTGATTGAGTTTATAGCATATCCTGTGACATTTTACTCAATCACCTACTGCAAGAATGGTTTATACTCCTTTTTTGATCTGTATGCATTTGGTGACAAAACACCAATTTTTAATGGCCTGCTGAATACTGATATATTTGAAAGAATATTTTCTGGCATCACAACTTTACAGTAAAGGTAACACTAGAGTCAGTCAGTATCCCAGAGAGGGGTCTGTTTTTAAATATGTTCTTCTGGCTAAAAACTGTAAACTGATCCTCATCAATTCACGTAACACTACCGAGTAATCAGCACCTCCAAATCGGAGGAGTTTAAGTATCTCGGGGTCTTGTTCACGAGTGATGGGAGAAGGGAGCGGGAGATCGACAGACGGATTGGTGCAGCGGCTGCAGTGATGCGGACGCTGTACCGGTCTGTTGTGGTGAAGAGAGAGCTGAGTGTAAAAGTGAAGCTCTCAATTTACCGGTCGGTCTACGTCCCTAACCCTCACCTATGGTCACGAGTGGTAGTGACCGAAAGAACGAGATCGCGAATACAAGCGGCGGAAATGGGCTTTCTCCGAAGGGTGGCTGGCCTCTCCCTTAGAGATAGGGTTAAAAGTTCAGCCATCCGGGAGGGGCTCAGAGTAGAGCTGCTGCTCCTCCACATCGAAAGGAGCCAGTTGAGGTGGTTCAGGCATCTGACAAGGATGCCCCCTGGGCGAGGTTTTCCGGGCATGTCCCACCGGGAGGAGGCCCCGGGGCAGACCCAGGACACGCTGGAGAAATTATATCTCTCAGCTGGCCTGGGAACGCTTTGGTGTTCCCCCGGATAAGCTGGAGGAGGTGGCTGGGGAGAGGGAGGTCTGGGCTTCTCTGCTTGGGCTGCTGCCCCCGTGACCCGGCCCCGGATAAGCGGAAGAAAATGGATGGATGGAATACCGAGTAAGTCAAATCCTCGGTCCTCATCCCCTAATGCATCTCCATGTTGAGCCAAGCTCTGGAAGCTCACATCCATCAATACATTATGATAATTTTGGCGCTCATCTCCTACAATCAACGACAAGTAAGGGAAGAAATTAATAATATTCTATGACAGAATGAAATCAGGCTCAACATAAACAAAGACAATAACAACTCAACTTAAGCAAGAAAACAACTCCGCTCTTACCAATGTCTGCAAAGTTTAGAAAGTTATTTCCAAAATCCTCTTTCAGAGTGATTTCCTCTGATCGACACTGGTTCAGTGAAAAGTGGTCCACCACATCTATGTCACTGGTGTGTGGACACAAACAGAATACTTATTCATCAGGTTTAAATAAATAACAAGTAATTAAATTATGTATGATTGCAGGGCAGCCTTACTTTAGGAAGTCAACACAGAATTATAACTTAGAAAATAGGTAAGTCCACAATCAGCCTTATATTTTTTTATATATTTTATATGAGCAATCCTTCTATTCATATCCTTTTATATTGACAAGCATGTCATAAAAATCAATTCTATAAATGACAGGTTAGACGTGTTGGAGAAGTGAGGAAAACAGTGCCTGGGGTCTGGAAGCTGGGGATCAAAGGTAGTGAAATCTTCGACCAAGGTAATCGCTTTTATTGTGGCCTCAAGCCCCTCCACCGGCAGATCTGTCTGACCTGGTGTATTATGAGAGAAAGAGCATGCAGGTAAATTAAGTTTTCACACCATAGGTTTGATGAAAGACTGTTTGCTGTGATCGTGTACATGAGAAAACCACAAATCAGCTCAAGTTCTTGGGGTTGAAAACGTTCCTTCTTAAAATATGTTGGTTAAGCACTTATGTCATAAATGGGATACGGTCTGTTACCACTTTAGATACATATAAGTGAAACTAATGCATTCTAACACATAGAGCATGTTTTCATAAATACTCCTTTCATGAATATTGCAATGTGCCATTTTTGTTGAAGCTTTTTGCTGCATTACAAATAAATGGCTAATATAAAATAAATGATTACATGGTTGGTTCAAAAACAAACAAAACAAACACACACAGTCTTATGTACCATATACTGTAACTTTAATAAACCCAGGATTAATTGTAGGATTGTTAGACTGGATTAATCTTATTAAAATCTGAATGGAAATTTTTTTACATGGCAGTTAATCAATTTCTGAAAACCATCCTTTCGTTATTATCAGCCGATAAGACCATTTCCCACACCCATAAACATAAACTACTCTACACTCTTTTTATATTGCCAACACTTTACTCACTTTTAGTCACTTACAGTTATTTATTTACCTTTCAGTCACTTTAATTTTAAAACTGTGTACATACTGTATATTCTGTGTATTTATTATCTCACTCCTATTGCCTGTTTATGCCCTGTCCTCATCTTCAACACCACGCTGCTCTGTTGTATCTCAATTGCCCCTTGGGGATAAATAAAGTCTTTCTGATTCTGATCAGATTGTGAAATAAGTTTTGGTTCTGCTAAAATTCAGGTTTTAGCTTTATTTATTTACGAGGAACTGTCACATAAACTGTACAACAATAGCTGCTCCGATTAAAAATATTTTACAATGTTATTCTAAAAGAATTTAAATTATTTAACGCACACACACACAAACTTCAACAAGGCGGGGTTACCTGGCCTAAAAGCTGTTTTAATCTTAATCAGGGCATCGCTGCAGTCTGCAAGGAGATACTTTGCTTTTCTGGAGTAGATTCGAACCACACCAAGGAGCAGATGACCAGATGTCCGCAAACCAATTCTCACCTACAAAGAACACACAAACTGACGTCTCAGACTCACTCTTTATATAGTTAATATAAAAGATTAACTAAAACTAGCCATTAAAAAGCGTTTTAGTTATTTCAGGGATAAAATCATGATTATTTAACTCAAAGACTAAAAAAAAAGTGTGTTTATTTAAACTTAAAAAAGTAGACACCTGACACTCATCTCCACCCTGCCTGTGCTCTGTATAAACCCAGAAAAGGGAAAGCAATAGTCTTTATCACTGTGGTTAAATTTGTTACGAAAACTATTTGTTTAATAAGACTGGGATGTCTGATTGTGTTGTGTGTCAGCTGCCTTCACTGTAAAGTTTCACGTTCATATTGTGCTATCTACTTGCCCATGGGAAAATACCTCCTATACTCTAATAATTAAAAAGACAAAAAACAAAACAAAAAAAAAACCAAACAAACCCCAAACTAAAAATAACATAAAAACCGAAATGAACCAAGCAAATCCACTTTAGGAACTGACTGAAACTAAACGGAAAGGAAAACAGTTCAAATAGAATAGAATGGTCCTTTATTTTCATTGCTCAAGCACAACGAAAAATCATAAAGCTAATGTCAACATACAACTATAATAACTGGCTTAAGTTATCCCATAATATGTGGTTATGGATATGCGCTTTGAAAACGTTTACCTTTGGTGAAATTATTTCTCTGATAGTTGTTTCCAGGTTGCATTCAAAAACATGGGCCTTTGTTAGCTTCTTTTCCCAGTGGGCTGCTAGCCAGATTTTGGCTAGTGATCCGCGCTTAGAAGTGAAGAGTTGTGTGTAGAACATCATGTTGGTAAGTTAGCTGTCACCTGTGAGGGAAATATCAATGTTTCTTTAATTATGTTTCACGTCTCGGCTGAATTTTCTCATGTTGATTTAGCTAAGTTTAGAAAATAGGTGTTTCCTTGACCGCTAACTAAGCCTGACTTCTACTGTCAATGTCCTCTAACGAAGTTAGCTAAGAGTTAGCTACGAAGCTGTAAGCCTATCAGAATTTTTTCAAGTGAGTTTAACTTCTACTGTTATCAGTGACGCTAAAAGCATAAAGGGGTTATAATAATTAATTTTACACAAGCGCAGTAAAGGCCCGACACAAACACAGCCGCCTACCTTAACTTTGAAAGTGCCGCCTTTTGACATTGAACAGCATAACACCGCCAGGGGTTATTCTGGCGCCATTTACGTCAATTAAAAAACAAACAACAACAGCCAGTTGATATAAATGGCCACAAATATTTTTTTTGTTAAAACTACTAACATTATAAAAGTACCTGTGGTATTAAAAAAAACAAGAAATCACACATTTCACTATTCAAGCTTAAGTTGAAAAGAAATTCAGATATTTAAATAATTTTTAATCAATTATTCATAAGAAACCTTATTAGAACAGCAAAAGAGTGCTTTCCATTAGTTATGTTCATTGTCATTAAAGTTAGTCTTCCTCTAACAATACTGGTCTCTAGCTGTCTAAGTAGTGCTCAAGGACTTTTGCAAAGTGCAACACAATTTAAATTTTATTTATATAGCGCCAAATCACAACAAAAGTCGCCTCAAGGCGCTTCATAGATACAGAGAAAAACCTAACAATCATATGACCCCCTATGAGCAAGCACTTTGGCAACATTGGGAAGGAAAAACTCCCTTTTAACAGGAAGAAACCTCCGGCAGAACCAGGCTCAGGGAGGGGCGGCCATCTGCTGCGACCGGTTGGGGTGAGAGAAGGAAGACAGGATAAAAGACATGCTGTGGAAGAGAGACAGAGGTTAATAACAGATATGATTCAATGCAGAGAGGTCTGTTAATACATAGTGAGTGAGAAAGGTGACTGGAAAGGAAAAACTCAATGCATCATGGGAATCCCCCGGCAGACTACGTCTATTGCAGCATAACTAAGGGAGGATTCAGGGTCACCTGGTCCAGCCCTAACTATATGCTTTAGCAAAAAGGAAAGTTTTAAGCCTAATCTTAAAAGTAGAGATAGTGTCTGTCTCCCGAATCCAAACTGGAAGCTGGTTCCACAGAAGAGGGGCCTGAAAACTGAAGGCTCTGCCTCCCATTCTACTTTTAAATACTCTAGGAACAACAAGTAGGCCTGCAGAGCGAGAGCGAAGTGCTCTAATAGGGTGATATGGTACTACAAGGTCATTAAGATAAGATGGGGCCTGATTATTTAAGACCTTGTATGTGAGGAGCAGGATTTTGAATTCCATCCATCTATCCAGAAAATATGGCCTATTTTCTTTTTCCTTTTTCGCTGCTCCCTTTAATAGTCGCCACAGATCATCTGAATCCATCTCACCCTAACCTAACATCCTTCTCTCCCAGGTAAACTAATCTACCTTAACTACCTCTACTCCTTGCAGCTTCACTCTGACACATCTCTCCCTGTCATTTGCACACATGTATTTTGTCTTATGTCTACTGACATTTATTCTTCTTCCCTCCAGGCTGTTTGCCAGTTGCTCCCTACTCTCACCACAGTTCACATTGTCATCTGCAAACGTCATACTCCATGGAGATCCCATATGTTAAGTACCCAAAGTACTCTTATGCCCCAGTCACCACTACAATAAAGTTACCAGGACATACATATATGCAAGTACTCCATAAAACTGCCCACTCCCAATTCTCAACTTTTCCACCAGTCCCAGTTGAGAGTACTATTTAATATACAATATAATGTTTGAAAATGTATGATAACAGCATGGAAACAACTCTTAATTTATTATATGTAAGTACTTTCCTCAAGGAGAGCTTTAATCTACATAGAATAGAATAAAATAGAATAGTTCTTTATTGTCACTGTACATGTACAACAAAATTGTGGGTGCTGCACACCAACTGTGCCAGAATAAAATATAAATAGTAGACAGCAGGGATAAATAGCAAACAGGAATCAATCAAGAGGGATATATATACAAAACAAGGGAATATATATAAATAATAGAAAGTCACACACTGGAGAACAAAATAGTCACAGAGTGCTTGGAGGTAGTGCAAAGAAAAGACTTGGTCTGAATAGAGTCCGTGTGTGAGTGGCCTGAGTGATAAGGTTACTCAAACATTGGCTCAGATTGGTGAGGTGCGTGTGCGTGGGGCGTGGGGGGATAGTGTTTATTGACAGTCCGAATGGCCCAGGGGAAGAAGCTGTTTGTGAGTTTGGAGGTGTGGGACCAGATTGACCTGAGGCGCCAACCAGAAGGCAGTGATGGCCCTGGTTTTACTTAGACTTTAGGTAATGCTATGTTATACTGCTTCCAACTTCTACACTAAAATCTAAACTATTCTATTCTATGCTTAATTTATTTGCTAATGATTGAGGGGGCACAGTTTATGGATGCAGTTAAGATAAGCTACTTCATATTTTGTGCATATCTGAGCGACATCTGCTTAAGATGAAGACCTTATACATTTAGATCTGAAGAAAGAGATATTAATGGGAGAAAATCACAAAGTAAAAAAATGCAATTGTATTGATACAATAAAAGATATAATTGGCCTACTGTTTGTCACATTTGACAGCATGACTCCTTTTTGGTTTTAGGTTGTCCATTTGTGCAAGAAAAGCACTAAATAACTGTTTTATGTTTCTGTTAAACTGATGTTTCTTAAAACTAAAGCGCTCTCAGAATCATGTAACAATTCAATTTTTTTTTTTTTTTTTTTTAGAAATTAGCTAATGTTTTATGTCTTAAAGAAAACAGCTCACAAGCAATGCTTTTCAGAGGCTTCATGCCCCAGTGGGCTTAAATTCAGTGAGTCAAACTGGTTTGTCCTCAGACTCTTAACTTATTCATGTAAAAAAAGGAAAGTCATTTAAAAACCTATGTGATTATATAATTTCTCTCACTGACAGATGTTGTATTGAAAGAAAAAGTAACAAATTACTGCGATTACTGCTGTAAAGTCTGACAAGTTTCATTTCACACATGATCAGGTGTGGATTCTTAAAGCAGTCCATCATAAATGCTTCTCATGTGGTAATCTGATGTTTGGTGTTTCTACTTCCTCTACTTGTGTTTAAATCCTCAAAATGATTTAATATATTTTTGGTCCTAATGACCAGTGGACATGTGAAGGAAAAGCACAAGGGTGCAGCACGAGATTGTCATACTGTATCTTATTTAGGAGTGCACAGACACACACAGGTGTTTTTAATTTTCTGGGCTGCATCCCAAACTGAATATTTTTTCCCTTTAATCCATACCACAGCTGCTCTTACAAAATATGTATTGCTGCATGCAGAATGCGTACAACTGGGATATACTCCATCATAACAGCACTTTGTACTTTGACAGTCATGCATTATGTGTAGCTGACACAGACAAAAAAACCCTCAAAAACATGCTGGCTTGCATTCTGCAAAAAGCGCCAGTATGCAGAAGCACATCTTAAGATGTAAACCTAAATACCAGTTTTGGAACGTACTGACGTACTGACTCTTTTGCCACAGTAACATTGTGGCTCAGTTTTCAAACACATGCGGGATGAAGGTTTGATCACCTGTTTCAGTTGGAGCTCATCCCCAGGCAATGGACAGTGTCTGCAGACATCCAGTATCTGCTTGGGATGTGTTAATGCAGTAATACGTTTAAAAGTAATTTTATCCACCACTTATTTACAGCTACAGGATACATAAAGATGAATTTTATGGAATTATGGGTATTGGAAAAATAAAGATTATGCAGCTTAATGTTATTCCAATATATAGGAGGTTGAAGGAGGTGTTTGTCTTTATTTGCCACTTTGTCCTTAAGGTTTTCTGTTCCCTTGTTCTGTTCAACAAATTCAAGCATGAACTGCCTGTTTCAGATGTCCATCAGCATCAGCATTGACCTGATATGTTTATCTCCGACCGGGCGTTGGTCAGAGATAAAGATATAACACAGATAACACAAATATCTAGTCAGCCAATCACATGGCAGTAAATCACTGCATTTAGGCATGTAAGCATAGTGAAGACAACCTGCTAAAGTTCAGAGTGAGCATCAGAATGAGGACGAAAGATACTAGACTGTTGGAGCCAGATGGGGGGCTGAGCATTTTAAAAATTGCTGCTCTATTGGCATGTTCTGCACAACCACTTTGAAGTCAAACAACTGCTCATTACAACCAATGTATACTGGGGAGCTTCTCTGAACCCACAGCATGTCAAACTTTGAAACAGATGGGATTGGCTGCAGAAGACCACACTGGGTGCCCCTCCTGTCAACTAAAAACAGGAAACGAAGACTACACTTCGCAAAAGTTGACCAAATTTGGACAACAGAAGACTGGAAAAGTGTTGCCATGTATGATGAGTATCAGTTTCACTACAAAATGGGCAGAATTTGATGTAAACAACATGAAAGCTTGAAAGACTTGATTCAAACTGGTGGTGGTGGTGGTTTAATGGTGTACCAGCTGAGCATCATTTAAATGTCACAGCCTTCCTGAGTGTTGTTGCTGACCATGTCCATCACTTTATGAACAGTGTACAGATCATCTGATGGCTGCTTCCAGCAGGATAACATGCCAGTTTCAATCCACTTTTGGGATGTGGTGGAAGGGGAGATTAGCATCATGGATGTGCAGCTGACAAACCTGCAGCAACTGATGCTATCATCTCAATATGGACCAAAATCGGTGAGGAATCTTCCCAGCACTTCTATACCATGAAGAATTAGGGCAGTTTTGAAATAAGGCAAAATAAGGTCCAACCAGGTACTATCAATGTGCATCTAATGAAGTGGCCAGAAAGTGTGTATATTCCATTAATCAATAGACAGCACATTTGTTCCTCTGCTCTTTGTGGTTCCGTTTTTTATTTTCTTCCTTGTTTTTTCCCCCCTTTGATATGTGAAAATGTATTATTTCCCCCAAAAATTTATAATAATAATCATACACCTTTCTACAATATCTGTTTACATATAACTAAATGAAGGCTTATTGTCTTTCCACTGTCTTTCTGTTTGTATGCACTAGAGGGCACCAGCATGCTGGGAAAAACCAAGCAGAGCCATGGTGTCAGAGTTTGGGTTAGAATGTAACTTTCACCCTCTGTTGAAGATGAAATATAGTGAAACCTTACAAGAAGTGCACAGTAATTACTCAGTCTATTGCAGACCTTAGTTGTAATGTTAAATCTTGCTGAGGTGTAGTGTTGCACCTAACACTAACTTTCATGTCTGGTTTTTCTGCTGAATAATAATTTTCAGGTCATTTGTTTTCTTTATATTTCTTTTCATTATTCTAATAAAAACATACTGTGTTTAATAAACGTATTTTATGTCAGCTTTTTAACATCACGTCCTGGATCTTAAACGCTAATTTTCTTGGAGAGTTACCGTAAATACTTTGTATGTGTATCATAGAGTGCTAAATTTTGACCCCATTTTCCAAGATTTTAACTGATTTAAAATTCCACTTAAAAATTTTAAAAATTAATTAATTAACTAAAACTGACCTTTTCTGCTCATTTCCAGCACCAAATCTTTAGTCACTGTGCATGTGTTACGGTTCAAAATAATGAGTATTTATCTTATAAAGTTCATCCTTGTTTTGCATGAAGCAATTTTAGCTCAGTCCCTTCTCCTCCAAATTAAATTATTATCTGATTGGATGCTGCTCATAAAGAGGAAGTGTGAATAACAGCTGGGTGGAACCGCTGCAGTCATAGTCAGAGATATTCTCCTGGAGGACCATGTTATGGATATTTGCTCTCCCTAACATCATATAGAGCCAAGAAAGAAAATAGGCTCCATATTAAGCAATTCATTGATCCAACAGAAATCTTAGCTGATAGACTGATTAATCAACTAATTGACTGAAAAATTAGTTCAGTGTTAGTAAAATATGTGATTCCGTGCACTATAATAACCAGATACATTTTAATTTACACAGGAGGTCACAGCCTGACATCAGGGTGATTCTGCCAGGTATGACTGTGGTTTTCCTCGACCAGAGGTAAGATGAAAGAGCCTAAACCCATAGAGGAGTTTTTAATCTCTCTCCTTTGTCTCTCATAGACCTGCCTTTCTCTCACATATCCATGTTTAAGAGCAAAAATCCTTCTTCTAGTGACCTTCAAGGCAGTGACGACTAGCAGAGAATTAAACCCGCCAAAATGAATTGTGTTTTGCACTAAAATGATGTCTTGAGTTGTCTGAGTGCACAAGAACAGTTGGTATGGGAAGTCACAGTCTGGGCTTTTAAGAGGAACAGACAAACTGAGGATAAGAGAGTTGGTGATGGAGATTGGGACTGAAAAGAGGAAATTCACATGAAGATAAGAGAAGCAGCGATTATTTCTGAAGTGGCTGTTGAATTGAAGCTTTATTTCATAATTGAGTGCTGTGCTGGGTAAACTTAGTCTTTAATGGTAAAACTGTGTACTCAGTAATAATCTCAATCATGTTTACCGATCAATTTCCATCTGGCTCTACAAACAGACTGCACGGACCAGAATGAAGAATCTCACATGATTAGTCTCAGTAATCAAAAAGGTAAATAATTGTTTTTATACACAGTTTCAAAAATGCACCCAGCTACATGCACCCAAGTAGGACTATACTGCCAGTTTCTCTTAATGCGATGTGCCATATCAGTTATTTTTCTTTTAATTCCTCCTCTGGCTGTATCTCATTGCTTCCCTATATTGGTTGCCAGTGAAAGCTTATCCTACAGGCACTTTTTTTTTTCAAACTGGGGGAAAATAAATTACTTTGCATCTAAGTTGATCCTTCATGCATATTTTCTTGTGCTCCCTGTTGGGATTGCGGTTAAGATTTTCATTTCAGCTCAGTTTAGCAAAAAATACAAGTACATCACTTTAGGTCATATGCCCTATAGATTTTACTTTTCATTACAGAGATGGGGCTTCCTATGTGTTTTAAAACGCACATGCATGTAATCGTCATAGGAAAGGCAACCTCACAGTTGCAGCTTTGCTATCAATGTGAATTTTGATTTTTGATTAGCCTTCTCAGAAAGATTTCTCCTGGAATGTTGTGCGTGGCACACAAAGATGGTTGTTTCTCAAGTCCTAAAACCAAAGCTGTCCAAGGTTATCCTCATTCAGACCAATATTTATTCATTTATTTATGCCTTTTTCCCTTCCAGAAATGCCATATCCACTGCAGGACAAGCAGGACATTTGGATGATTTGGCTTCATTTTTCAAATCCAGCTTCTTCACAAAAACGCTAATGCAGTTCTCTAAAAACTGAGAACAAATTAGTTTCATGCTCAACATGTAGAGCACACCATCCCAGGAATTTTAAACAGAGGTGTCTCCTATAATGTCAATAAACTGCTTTATGGAAAATTGCATTGGCAGTAAATTTGAACCTGCTGTGCTCCCAAGTTAATGAACACCCAAAGCAGCTTCCTCACAGATAAAGTGCTTGGAAAAAAATATTAAAGATTGCCTTATTCACAGAAAATAAGAGCTGATTTTAAACATTCGATTATAATCTCTGTTCTACGATCGTTTTCAGTAAAATTTGTGTTTACAATTTGCCCTCATGTTTTAAAGTGTTTTTATGAATAATTTGAAATTATTTCAATCTTTCTGAAATCTCACTTTCTGTCAGATGATGCAACTTTCTGTGCCCCAAAAACAGTGCAATGATCCGTTTGTTTTTGTGTTTTTAGTAAATAATACTAAACAAGAACTTTTTTATAATGAAATAAATACATACATGATACTTTTTAAACATATATACATACACATGATGTCACACAGCACAGGACCACATTATAAAAGAAACTAAAATTAAATCTAACATAGTTCTTTGTATTTTTGCATTGACATGGATGAAAAGACATCATTGTTGCTGTAAAGGAATCGCTTTTTTAACTGATGGATGTAAATGCATATTTTTAGCAGAAAATAAACTGCAAGACAAAATCTCTGTAAAGCAAAATAATTCTCAAGGACCTTCAGTCTTAACCATGGCCTACTTTGGAAATCTTTCTCTTTGTACTGATGTAAATTATTGCAGAAACTGATTTTCCTTGATTCCTAATCAGTTGACTGTTTAAATAGAATGATTTGAAATGACAGGTTATTAAGTTTTCTTAATAGCGTGGGTTCCCTTTAATATTGGTTTGCTAAGATCTAAATAAGAAGAGAAGCGAGGCCCCACAACTGAAATGGGAGTTTCTGTAAACCAAAGGGAGTCACATCCAGTGCTTTTTATGAAATAAACATCTAAACTTATGTACAAATTAATGTGGAACTATTTTGTTCAACAGTCTCTGTTTAGAAAATGACTGCAGGTTACATGCTGCACTGGAGCCCTGCAAGTACAGGCCTCTTGACTGAAGTGATCTTCTGCTTACAGCACTCTCTCTAACATTAAACCTCTCAAAGACCCTGCAGGCTGGACGAAGTGGGGAAATTTGGTTGTGTTGTTCATCCCAGAAAACTGCAGCTGCCAGTTTGATTTTATGTCTCAGTTACAGTACATCCCACTATTGACAAGGACAAAACATTAGATCAGACATTCACTCCTACAGGTGGTGAATACTTGATCATTTTAGGTTGAATACCCCTTTACGTACAGTATCACGGTCCTCAATGTAAAGAAACCTAAACAATCTTTTTTGACTACAATACGTTCTTATAATATACTCAGTTGGCGCTGGTGGTGTGGAGGTGAATATTAAACATAGTTTATCCTCATGATGCACACTGAGGTACACATTTTCCTAATTAACCTTTAAGCTGGAGGGGGTTCTGCTGTCTCATTTTCTGCTCTCTTGGAATCCTGTTAAATTACTGCACATTTAAATGAAACAGGAAACGAGCTGACACAGAAGTAGACGTCAAGACATTGCAAGTATACTTTTTTGTGGCAAATCTTCTGAGAAGTTTTTGTATCATGTTTTCATTTCACATTGAAAGAGTCACTCAGAAAGGATGACATGAAAGGTCCTTGCAAAGGTGGTGAAGTCTCATTGAGACTTTATTGTTCAGTAACCTCTTTGTCTTTTTGATCACGTGTCGTCCTTTGTTTGCTTTATGAAAGAATCAGGCTGTTCCACTAGAGGAACTCGGCCTGTGTTTTGGCTGAGAGTTGGCCGACTGTCACCTCTGTGTAGGTGGATCCAGTCAGGATGCAGGCAGTCCTTTGGGGTGTCACATGACACAGAGCTGCATTGTCAGTGCAGTGCAGACACGCCCCGTAGCTCTCCTGCTGTCCATTTGAAAAGCGCGTGGAGACGCTCATGTCCTTGTTGCGCTGTGATGTGGATCCGAATCGTTCTTTCGGCTCGGACTGCGGACTGCCCCTGTAGATCATCTGTCGTAACATCGAAGTGTCTCTGTATAAACACTCGCGAAAGTTGGGCTTACACAGGAGGTAGACCATAGGGTTGTAGATGGTAGAAGACTTGGCAAACACTGCAGCAAGGGCAAAAGCAGCAGGAGGAACTTGCGTGGCATCCCCGAAAGCAGCCCACATGGCCACGACAGCATATGGAGACCAAGCAGCCAGGAAGCCTATGCACACTGCTACAGACAGCTGTGGAGAAGGAGCATTCACACATATGCATGCAGATATTCAAACAACATTGAACAAAAAACATGACATGCAGAATTTAGTTTCATGTTAGTGGCAAATTTGTATGAAAACATATATCTTAAGTATTATAACTTTAGTTTTGAATCTATCCACGCAGAAGTCTACATATGCATCAGAAGACTGTACAGAGATAAAGAAAGTAATCAATTTAATTTATAACCTTCTAATTATTTATGTTTTCATATCCTACTTAGATCCTGTTAGCTATAAAAGCTATAGTCAGTGGTGCTGAAGCGACACAGCCATAACCTCTGACCTTGACAATGAGAGCGTGTGCATTGGTGCTCTTGGCCTGTGGTGACACATGCTGCTGGACGGCCTGACGTGAGCCCCGCACGGTCAGCAGAATGAAAGTGTAGGAGAGGAAGATGATAGTGCAGGGGACTACATAGCAAAAGAAGAAAAGGCAGATAATATAAGACAAAGCTGAAAGCTCATAGTTGGGTGCATGCCAGTCAATGCAGCACGCTGTCCCATAAGGCTCAAGACTGTAATGTCCCCAGTGTGCCAGTGGCCCCAGAGCAAACACAGATGCGTAACACCACACTCCAGCCACCAGGAGGTGGGCATGTGACGAGGAGAAGTTGTTACCTGATAAGAGAGGGAATAGAAAAAGGTGCCTTGAAGTTATTATGCTTGTTTTACTCCTGCTGCTGGTAAACTTTCTGTAGCTTTGACAACATCATGCGTATCAATTTATTCCACCCTCACCGTGGTTGGGGACACAGACTTTAAGGCAGCACACTAAGGAAAGGACTGTGAGGTTTGTCAAGCTGCAGAGACCAAACAGCACTCCACACATAGCATACACCTGGCAGATGATTTCTCCAAACAGCCACCTGTACACATAGACAATGAGTAAAAAAAAAAAAAATGTAATAGAGGCTAGGGCCCAGAAAACTGCTCCCTGTTTGAGTGTAACTGTAGAGTGTAACTGTCACAGCTTTGGAGGGTCTTTTTATTGAGTGTTAGGATAGAAGTATAATAACAAGCTTTGGGAAGCCCTCTCCATCCCGAACATAGATTTCCAATATAATTTGTTTATATTTATTCTGCAATCTGATACAGTATTAAGAGTACCTGCTGGAACATGATCCATTTCAGTTGCATTCAGGCATTTAGGATGAAATAAACCACTTTCCAAAATGTTCCCACTTTTCCTCATTCTCATTCTTTCTTGGTTATTATTAATCTCTTCTAACAACAATAAGCCCCTGTTCAAAAACAGAGGTTCAGTTAAGCTAATTTATAACAATACATTTTAAATCAGGTACATTATTATTACTGGAGGCCATCATGTATCTTGTGTCTGCAAAAGTGTTCGCATTATTTTGTTTTTAAAAAGTATATTTTTGGTTGATAGATGACTATTTTCTGACTGTTTGCTAAGCTAAATGCACCAAAGGACCTCTGGATATATAACATGGAAGACTGTGTCAATAAAAAACAAGGACAAGAGACCTCACGTAAATGTGCTCCACCTTAATGTTTCCTTGTGAGCACTGAAGCTCTCCTGCAGTGCTGGAATTGCTCTTTGCAAGTCAGATTATGATCACTTTTTCACGTATGAAATGCATACTAGATCTCCTCCACCTTGTAACAGCAGAGACCCTCGATTTGAATTTGAGTTTCTGGGAAGAGCAACTCACAGGCAGCTAAATCTGGCAACTAAGAATGGTGGTGAGTGACAGAGACCACAGATTTATTTTTGTTTACCGAAATGGTGACATTTTCATGACATGTACCGCAGTTTTGCCAGATGCCCTCTCTTGGGATGTAGCTGTTGAACTCAGGGCAAACTGACAGTGCAAAACTGTGAGTGTGAAGACAAAAACAAAAAACAAAGCCGAAAGCAAACACCTGGTAATGCTCGTGACGTAACACGTCTTCGTCAGGCTTGGAAACTGCAGTGTCCTCCACTGAAGATGTTTTCATTCAGAGTTTTGCACTGTTGATTTTCCCAGCAAGAGTTGGAGTTTGAGGTCAATGATGAAAATGTAAGTAGGTATTTAGACAGAGTGACAGAAAAAAAGGAAGTGCACAAACTTTAACAGGAAATCTGTTAAAAGTCATTTTTTATAGATTTTTAGGTTAGACATGTTGTAACATATACTCACTGGGCATTTCATTTGGTATAACTGTTTAAACTGCTCATTAAAGCAAATATCTAATTAGCCAAATACGTGGCAATATGTTGATACATTTAGGCATGTAGGCACGATGAAGACACCCTGCTGAAATTTAAAGTAAGCATCAAAATGCCGAAGAATGCGGATTTACTTTTGCTGGATTGCTGAATAGACTTGTCTGAGTATTTCATAAATTGCTGATCTACTGGGATTTTCCCACACAACCATCTCTAGGGTTTACCAAGCGCGAGCTGAAAAGAAAATATCCAGCGAGCAGCAGTTCTTTGAGTGAAGCCAGATGTCTGAGGAGAATGATGATGTCAAATAACCACTTGTTACAACCAAGGTAAGAGCATCTCTAAAAACACAGCACATTGAACCTTGAAGTAGAAGGGCTAAAGCAGCAGAAGAGGTGACAATTCTGTCTGCTGACAACAGGAAACTGAGGCTGCAGTTCACACTGGTTTACCAAATTTAGATAATAGGAAAATTGGAAAAATGTTAATGAGTCTCAGTTTCTGCTGTGACATATGAAAGCATGGATCCATCTTGGTTCTATTTCATGTCACAAAACGAATCAAACTGATTTCTTGAACGTGACAACGAGTTCACTGTAAAAGGCCTCCACAGTCTGGTCCTGATGCAGAAGGAAATTGGTGAATTCACATCAGTTTGTTAGGAATGGCACTAAATGTGGAGGCCCTTCCACATGGGGCTAGATTGAAAATATAGTTAAGGCCCACAACTACACAAAATGTTTATCAATCTCCATTTTTTTTGCTATAACATGTAGCTATTTATAGTGAATAGAGAAAAAAATTTAATGATTACTGATAAATGAATTTGAAGTTGAAATGAAATAAAAATATAGAAGGAGCTTTTACGATACCTGTGTGAAAACGCCGATGGTATGGCCAGTGGAAGTAAAGTGAGTGTCATCCCAAGGTCACTGATGGAGAGATTGATGATGAAGAACTCTGCTGGTTTCAAGGTTGACCGCTTGTGATAAGCAACAAGTAGCAGTGTGGAGTTGCCTATGATGGACAGTACACCTGTGAAAGAAAAGGAGATTGAGTTGTGCTAAAGATGGATAAAGCATAAAAAAATGTTGTGTGGACTCACAGAATAAGCTGTAGACTGAACCCATGAAGATGTCATGCTCCTTGGAGATGGTGGAGGTAAACACAGCAGACGTGTCTGAAGCATTTCCCATCTGAAATGTCACCACTCGAATTAATTCATGGTCAATAAAGCTGAAAATAATCCAGGAATTTACAAAAGTCAATACTCAACTTAGGATCCTAAAAAAATGAAAACATGCAAAAAGGAAGTATATGTAGTCACTATGTAAAATCGAATCAATGCAAACTGTTTTGTTTCTGAAGCATTTCAAACACTGCACACTGTCTGTAGTGCACTACAAGCTGTCCTACTGCTGTTATTGCAAGAAATATCTGCAGCCTACAGGATCAGATGTAGAAATAAATTAAAAAAGCCGTTTTGAAGAAAAATAATCCTCTGCAAAAGCTGAGGACTGTTCATATTAAACACAAATATCTAAAAAGCATTGACAGATGGAAAAAATTAAAGCACGGTGCCATTTTTAGGATTTACAACAGGGTACAAGCGGTTGAGGGAACAAAACAGTTATGATTAAGACCAAATGTGCTCAGATTTTCTGGGAATAAAAAGCTTGTGAAATTGCAGTCTAAGCATGATTCAGCAAGCACAAGTGCAATTGCAATCCAGACACCGAAGTGATCGAAGAGATACATAATGGGCCGAGGTGAGAGTGTGATTCTTTTTTTTCCTGCCATGAAACAGAGTTGACAGGCTCTCCAGGATTTCTAACACATTGTTGGAAGATTCTTAATGGAGTCTTCTCGCCATCACTTGAAAACTGTCAGAGGCATTCACGCTTCTCATATTCTTTAGCCAGTCGGCTTCTTCTTACCCAGCTATTTGCAACCAAGATAATGATTGCTATTCAGTGCATCACTTTGCTTGATAGAAAATGAAAAATACAATGGAAATTGGGAAGGAAAGGATGGTGCAGGGACGAAATGCGGAGCAAGAGTTGGATAGCTACCAGAGATGATGTAGAGGCAATATTGATGTTCAAGGACTTAGGCAATCACAGGGATGAAGCTTCATTACTATGCAAGTCAGCACGCCAGTCAATGACGAAATGTCCAGTCAGTCTGAGTGGAGGAGACTCAGCAGAGTACAAAGCTGTGACCCATTTTAGTACCACTCAACTCCATGAACTTCATTCTTGTGTCAGCACAATAATGGATTCTCAATCAAGTAAATTTCCCCTCAGGTGTTTTAGGAATCAGTGATGGAACTGGCTTAGCACACGTTTACTATCATTCCAAAGCCTTTTCTTCCCCAAATTAATTACCTTGAAGAAACAATTCTTTGTATTTGTTTCCGCATCTAATCTCCAGTATTGATTAAAAGCAATACTGTTACCACATTAATGATCAGCCCTGTTATTGCTGGGATAGATACAGTTTGTGAGAGCATGTGTTCTGATAAAATGTGTGTTCACTCAGATCTGTGCAAAACATGTTTTCATCTCATAAGATCTCTTGGGAGGGGAAACTGTCAGGTTTTGGAAGATTTAAAGCTGATATTAATCATAAACATCCTTTGCACAGATCTGAATGTGCACATGCTTCTCTCTCAAGTGTGCTGGTTTTTAAGCTCAAGCACTCTCAACAATCACTGACTGAGCTTTTTCTTTTTTTAAAAATTGGCTCTGTAACTGAGAAAGCGTGCATCTTCCTTTTAATTGGATCATAATATGCTTATTTTTGCATTAGCTCCATAATAAAACAAAAGCAGCTTTGCATAGTTCAAATTTTAAAATATGATCCTTATTTATGTTATATTGGGTTTATGTGTAGCTCCTCTGTTTGACGCTAAAAGACATTTAAGCTCCTGTCCCTTTATGCCAACTTTTGTCTGATGGGTTGCCCTTCATAAATACGTTTTCAGGTGGGTACAACTTCTTTTTTCTGTTTAAACCTTGAAGCAGCAGTTTTCTGCTGCTTCAAGGTTTAACAGGTTTTGCATTCAGAGGTGCCTTCGTATCAGCTCAAGGCAGTCTGGTCATTATCCACTGACATCTAGCATCAACGAGGTGCTTTCACCCAGAGGGCTGCCATGTACTGGAGGTTTTCTCTGTAAACACTAGACATGGCTGTGTGGGAAAAATCCCAGCAGATCAGCAGTTTATGAAATACTCGGATCAGCATAGCGAGTGTGGAAATGAAAAGGGAGCTGTTATGGAAAGATAAACTCTGTCATTGGTCTGCTGTGATAGATTGAGTATTTTGAAGCTGAGTGGGCTATGACACAACTGTCATGTCTCTGAGCTTGCCTGAATAACTAATAATTGGACGCCTTTGATACAGGGACACGAGGACTTTGACCTCCAGATGATGACGTGAGAAGTGCACCTTATATCACCTGCTTACCTGACTTATTATTTCATTTTTCAAGCACATGTGCACTCTATCCTTTCCTTCTCTGACCCTGTAGAATCATGTGGTTTGCAGAGGATATTTAAAATAATCTTTCTGCAGTTTTACTGCTGTTGTCAGCATGACAAGTTATCTATTCAGTTTGCAACAAGTTTGCCTGAGGCAAGCTATCAAACTGTGAGATTTGCGGTGCCACTGAAAGTAGAACTGTCACTCATAACCATTAAATGTCTGTAGTCAGCGGAGATGAGCAGCCATTTAAAGGCTGACAGGCATGTCAGCGAGTGAAAGAGCAAAGAGACCACATGCTCAAGAGCAATGGTTGTGTATCTGCATGGTTTCCAGCCAGTCTCAATTTTTGATTTGTGTTTAAATGTTAATCTATTACCCAGCATTTTCTTTCCTTCAGAAAATGTTACCAACAGGATTCGTATTTTTATCTAAAGTAAATTACCCTCTTTTCCATTATAATGGCTCTCAGTGTATGTGCATTGACATTATGAATCAGAAAATGTTTGTGATCGAATGTGAACTTAATGCAAAGTGTCACATTTAATTTTGCATGCTTTGCTTGATTTACCAGCCCTGTCCCTTGAGCATTTACACTGTTTATATATGTACATTTCAAAGCAGTATTGAACAGTTTTTACTTATTTATGCCTTTTTGTGTTACAAATATGCTTGAAAAAAATAACCTGAAAAGTGAAACCAGTGTGGAAGTGCCTTAAGCCTGTATTCCCTCTAATAGCCAGCAGGCACGTCTCCTCTGATTGGAAAAAAATACCTGGTTGTATAGACGTCTATGGGGAAATGACCTCTGTAAATGAATTCCTGGGGGGTTTATAGTGTCACTCACTAATTTCAGGTTTAACATTATGTTTAGTTTATAAATTATCATCCTTATTAGAGTGAAACAGAAGTGTACAGTGCCATAAAAAAGTATTTGACCCTTTCCTTTTCCTTTCTGTTTTTTTAGTATTTCTAAAAGTAGGATGCTTCAGAACATCAAACTAATTTTAACACTAGACAAACGTAACCAGAGTAAATAAAAAATGTAGCTTTTTTTTTTTTTTTTTTTTTTACCTGGCAGAGCTGCTGAATCAATACTTCATGTAAACAGGACCTGCCTGACAAAGTGAAGTAGGCTAAAAGGGCCTTGAGGCAACTGTTTGGCACTGTATAGCTAAATTTGAATTGAATTGAATAGAATTAAAAGATCTCTAAAAGCAACCCATCATACCACGGTCTACAGTGAAAGATCCTTTTAATTCCTTTGGACTCCAGTGAGCTATGATGAGAACCATTATCCACAAATGGAGATAAGTTGAACACTAGTGAACCTTCCAGGAGTGGATGTTCTACCAAAATCACTCCAAGCACACGTCATCAACTCATCCAGGAGGTCACAAAAGAACCCCGAAAAACATCTAAAGAACTTCAGGCCTCCCTTGTCTCCTTTTATGGGGAGTGTTCATGATACAACAGTACTAAACAAACTGGGCAAAAATGGCATGGGGGAAAAAACAATGCTGACCAAAAAGAACCCAAAGGCTCGTCTACCCAAGACTTTGGGCAAATATTCTGTTGGCTGAACAAACAAAAGTTACATTTTCAGATAGCTGGTGTAAAACTAATACACTAAAACCATGAATTCTACTCTCCACCAGAAAATCCTGAAGGATAATGTCCAGCTATCAGTTTGTACCATAAAGCTAAAGAGGACTTGGGTTATGGACAATGATCTGAAACACAACAACAATTCAACCAAAAAACTTAAATCATATTGAAATTCTTTTCATGCCTTCAATTTGACTGATTTACTAAAACAATTCTGGAAAGAAGAGTGGGCCAACATTCCTCCCCAGCGATGTGAAACACTTATCACAAATGTGTGATTCACAGCTTATTTTGACTGAAGTCAAATAGACAGCATAGCACTAGACAGTTTCACTACCATTAGGCGAGTGTTTACAGGCAAGTCAGCGTCTTCCATATAAACTATGGCAACTGTACCAACTGACTAGTGACCAAAGCAATTGCAAGGAGGTTTTTTTTTGTGCAGCACCAAATGTCTGTTTGTGACCACTTTCAGCCTCCAGCAACCATTTACCAACCAGACGAGGAATTGATATATTTTCCCTGTTGACTGGTGGGTGCCCGGGCGTCTCCTACTGGTGTCTAGGCCTCTGTGACGGTGGCTCTAGCAGCTAGTTTCACAGATGGCCCATAGCCTCCAGCAACCACTTGCCAATTGGTTGACGAATACACATTTTTTCTCTAGCAACTGGTGGTTGTCAAGGACCGCTGACCAGTCTTTAGGCCTGTTTGACTGGTGCCTAACCAGTCAACAAAAAAAAGAAAAAAGAAAAAAAAAGAAAGCAAGATATGGTGCATACAACTCAAACTCTTGTGTTCTAGTTCAGGGCAACATAATTATACCACCGACAGCCTCACCCAGCAGCACTCTACCACACTAGATGCTGGAAATCGGTGGTAAAGCCCTTTGAGTTGAGCAGTATTTAAAATCAAAGCAGCAAATATGATGTCCAGTGTGTTGTGTGGCACGTGCCACGACAACCTAGTGAGACCTTTGTGAGATTAAAGTCAACTGTCACCCTCGCTGTGTGGAACTGCCACCTCATCTGAGAGTGACTGACAGTGACAAGCGAGTGCCATCACAGTACAATATTTACAGCAAGTTTTAGCGGCATGACAGCATGGTTGGAGGCAACTCCTTCAAACATTGCTGGGCATACGACATATCTTATGTAACCTGGAGAATTAACATATGATGCAATCTGCGTTCACATGATGTGTTTAAGAAGTCAAGCACTGCATCATATTAATGTGACTGTGAATCAGTTGTTAGCAGAATTATACGGGTAAATAAATTAAGCAAAGGGAGATGGCGCATGATTTGATTGTAGCATAGACCTTCTGCAGTTGTGGTAACATAGAGGACAGATTGCCATTTAGCTGATTGCTACTGAGGCAATTAATCATAAATGGTCTGATGCAAGCAGGCAATTACAAACTTTTGGTCATGTGACGTGTCGCTCATCCTAATTGGATTAACTTGGCATAAATATTTTTTAATATACAATGCTATAAAATAGCTTTATAATGTTAAGTTGTTTTATAATATTCAGTTGGACCTCTGTGGCTATGTGCACATCACCATCTTCATCAGTCTATATCACACAAACTATTGTGTGATTAATCTCTGATTAGTATAGAAAAAGAAACTTTTGATTAGGTCAGTGTCATGCCCTCAAACAGCTGTTTTCATTTCCCATTTGCCTTTGATTCTCATCTGCAGTTGGAGCTCAGTCACTTTGTTAAATTATGTTGTATCCAACAGAAGGACTTCACAACAAAATCCGTCTTTGTCCACACTTATTGATTTTCTGCGAAGAGAGCTTTGAGTGAGCCACAATCACATATGTCTGCACAAGCAACAACGAAAACAACAGCAAACAGTTCATGCATGCAGGCAAACCCATCCAGATGAACAACGTGCAGCAAGCGGCTCAGGATCAAGGCAGGCTGTCTTGCAAATGGTCAGTGTTGTGACGGCTTCAACTTGGACCACCAGATAAAGAAAAGCACTCGTTTGTTACAGAGTGGGATAATCAGGATCTCGTCACTAATCCTGCCGGAGGTCCCACGAGTCGGCTGTGAGGTCTGAGCCTTCATCTTCATCATTATTACAGCTTGCACAATTCATTTTCGCTCCCTTGATTTAGTATCTGAACCTTAAATGAATGCCCTTCACTAAATAACCTTTTAACATATCCAGATGTTGTCATGTTAGAGGAAGAATTGCAAGTCAGGAAAAACTACCAGACATTTTCACAGGAAAAAAAAGCGGATCTAAAAGAATAAAAGAAAACAAAACATATATATATATATATATTGATCTATGTCAGCGCCTATCTCGCTGTTCACTGGTAGTAAACACTAAAAAAAAAACAAGCAAAATTTCGGGAGTCACATAAATGCGACATCATTGTTGATCCCCCCCCCTCTTTTTTTCTGTTATTGTCTAATCTCTTTGTATTGCTCTGAAAATTGACACCCCGCGGCTACGCTGCTTACCTTCCAGGGAGGAATGGCTTGTCCTCAATTAAACTCATGGAGGCCAGGTGGAGAGCAGGACACAGAGGAGAGGAGCTTGGCCAGCCACCGAGAAGGAGACAGAGAGTGGAGGAAAAAGAGAGAGGTGGTGGGGGGGGGAAGGATAGAGAGAGGGGAGCACTGGTTCTATTTCAGCCTCACACTGAAGAGTCCGGTTAAGGTATCCTCCTCCCCTTCAGTGACATACACTTGCATGCAGCTGGCCAGGTGGACACATGCTCGCTGCATCTTACAGCATGTGCGCTGATCATTATTGTGGGCATTCAACTGATGGAGAACGAAAAGCCCACAGTGACGGCAGGCCAGAGAGAGAATAACGGGAGAGAGAGAGAGAGACGGATCAGCATAATACTGGTAAGATCCGAGTGTCACTGATGACTCAAAGTACCGCTCCCCTCCCCATTTCCTCTGCCCACTCTTACTACCACTACTTTTTCCCCACATACCCTACACTTTGGATTATCCTCTCACTTTGCATGAATGAATCGTGCATGCGATTCAAGTGTGTAAGGTGGGTTTTCCCAAATCAGTCTCCACAGCTGACTCACATGCTGCTGTGAGCTGCTGGTATCAAATCGCTTAATTAATGAATCTTGAGGTTGGTAGCCAGCAGGAGAGAAAAGCAGCAATTGATTATAAATTTATAGGAATGAAGGCAATGGTGTTTTGATGTATTTTCATTCGATTTTGAATTCAATCACGGTTTCATAATTTTGGCTTATAATGGTCTCATGTCATGGTCCCAGTTCAAAGCAAAGAATGGAAGTAGCAACAATGGCTTATGGTGCTGATCAATGTATGTCTGCTGCTGTGCTACTGGCATCTGGAATTTGATGTGTAATTTGTGACTAAAAATGGATTTTGTAGGTGGCTCTCTGTAATTTAAGTCTAAAATGAATGTGACAGCCACTTTAGAAAATAAAGTGTCATCCTCGGTCACACAGTAAATCCAGTCCTGGTAGGGAGCAGCTGAACTCCACCTGAAGCGCTGTGTCATCCCACTTTATCATACCCACCAATGCAGTTTGCTTGTAGCAGCACCACTCCCAGACTGACAGTCATGGAAAGCTGCTTAAGGGAGCGTGGGCTCACTCGCTGAGCTGTGCCGAGGCTGCAGGGCTGTCAAAGCTGTAAAGAGCTGTGCTGTCATATTAATACCTCAGCACAGGGTTCTGGTCCTTCTCAGGCTGCTCGCTCAGACACGTTTAGATGAACTTAGTGTCACAGCCAGTGGCTGCAGTAGTATGATGTCCCTTTAGTGTATTGGACATGGCAGGAAGTGATCAGAGCAAGTGGAAATTATTAGAGATCATGTTGAAAGTGAGCACAGTCACTTTCCTTCTGGACCTGAAGACAGCACGAATGTCAAGTCACTTAGTTTTAAACAATGCTAGATCATGTTTTCATGTGTTAGGTGGTCCAAAGCTGAGATCAGAAGAGAGAAATATCAGCATGATAAAATAATATAATACTTAAATAAAAAGATAAAACCCAAAATTTATATATGCACTCAACAGACACTTTGCCTTATACAATTTTTGAATTTAATTTAATTTATTTAATTTAACAAAATATGGAGGAAAAAAAAACACCTTGACTATAATTATTTCATTGTATTAATGATACTAATATTAGCCTGGAAAGAGCACAACATGCACAAAAAATATTCACCAACATGTTTACTGTAATGTGCCAGAACTGCGTTCACAACTTATTTCTTTACTGTTCCAAAGTGGTAAAAAAAAACAGTCAACAATAAGGGACGTAGCAATAGCACTTTAATTTAATGAATTATACTTCAACCACTGAAAGGCTCCACAGGACTGTTAACAGAGTTTTGGAGTCTCTCACATATATTCTGAAATTGTTCTTCTGAACAACATGAATACTGAGAATTTATTCTATTAAATTCTCACTAAATCCTCCTGAATAGTACTACTGGGAAAGCAAAATGGGTACTATTTTTTTTTGGAATCTCAGAATTACATCTGTGCTTTTTGCAGATGATGAGGTTTGATTGGGTCCATCAAAACATGACTTTCAGCACGCTCTGAGTGGGTTCTCAGGCGAATGTGTGGAATGAGAGTCTGAGTCAATGGTCCTCTGCTGAAAAATGGTGGATTACTCCACCCTGCATTGCAGCCTGTAAGGTGTTGTACCAGAATGTAAAAATATATCTGAGCTAGAAAGTGAGCCAAAAAAAATGAGGTTGTTTTACAAATAGTTAAAATTAGTTTCCAATGTAAGGTGGCTGGCCTCTCCTTTAGAGATAGATTGAGGAGCACTGACATCAAGAAGTAGAACTTCTGCTCCTTTGCATCAAAAGGAGGTAGTTTTGGTGTCTCATCAGGATTTGTCCTGAGCAGCTCCCCTTGGAGGTTTAATTGGACACTATCAGTTGGGAGGAGACTCCAGGCTAGGCTGAGAAGGTGTTGGAAGCATCAGGTCTGGGAATCCCTCAGAATCCCTCAAGAAAAACTGGAAAAGCTGGAGGAAAGGAGTTCTGGAATATCCTTCCCCGACTGCTGCCAGCATGACCAGACTTTGGATAATAGGAAGAAAATAGTTGGTTGGACGCACATAGCAGACTATAACTGAAACTGACAGACCTTTCTTGGACAGAGTTAATCTCAATTACTAAATTTCTGTGTATGATTAGGAATATAGATAAGAAACAAAATTTTTGGTAATGGAAAGCCTACGTGGTCTCAGTTTGTACTCCGTGTTCTTTTAACCTGTGATGTTTGAGACGACTTTGTTTACTCCTAGTAAACAGTTTACATGAAGAGAAAATGAGGAACTTTGTTTGTCAAACTGCAGTCTCCAAAACATGCAATATTCTCTGATGATGAGTTTGCTTTTTATTTGATTTAGTCAAAACAGAAAGTTTTGGCCGGGACATCCACTTCCTACACTGACAGCTAAAAAAAAAGAAAAAAAAAAGAAATTGGTGATTGTTCCCTGAGGCTGAGTCTGCAGACGATAGCCGATGGGTTCCTAGATTGACTCTGACTTATCCTCCAAGGAGACACATCGGTATTGCTTCAGGGAAGTCAACATTAAGCCTATTAAAATGACCTTGACCGCTGAAATGAAATGTATTGCTGTGATGTGGGAAAGTGATACTTCACCATTTATTTCCATGTAGGTCAGAGAAATATCCTTTTATATGACATCTTAACTCACTTAAAAAACCCCACTAATGAAATGTTTTTTTGGAAGGTTGTTGTTTATTACATAAGAAGATAGCTGTTAAATTGAACTTTGTCTTTGGTGAACGGCTCAAGTTCCAACTGTATTTTATCACATATTTAGCAGTGTGTTGGGTGGCTCAGTGGTTATGTATGGCATTTTCATGATATGTTTGTGCTTGTGTTTCCTTCCAGCATCAGAGCATGCTGAGTAAATACTCACATCACTGTGCCCTTGAACAAGGCACTGCCTTACAGCTGGAGTTGCTCCCCAGGCCCTACTCCTCTTAATGCCTAGGATCGGTTAATGCAGGGAATGAGTTTTCCTACAGCAATCAGCAAAGGAATTCTTATTTCCATTTGTTTTTTAAAAGTAAAAGTTACCCACCAAAGTCAGAAAAGACGTAACCAACATTAAATGTGACACATGAAATAAATATCAATTTACTACTCTGACAATATTGCTTAAAAGTGGCTACAAATCATTCGTTTTTCATACGTTTCTCTTCCTGGAAGATGCTTAAATCTTCCAGCTCTTGTTAGCAGTGGCAGTTGACTGAGAGCAGAGGCCAACCCTCAGCCCTTTTAAGAGCATGGATTAGAAAGCTTCAGGGTACAGAATTATCTGATAAGGCCCTACAATGTGATTAATTGGTGCTGCAGGAAATTGGTCTGCTTTTTACTAATAAATAATTTGAACGAAGGGAAGCAAACAGCTTTTACATATAAAAAAAAGTCCTTTTTTCTTCCTTTTCACATAGCTGTCAGTCTGATTATTGGATGCTTCATTCTAGACTGAGATGTTCTCGAAAAAGAGAAAATAATAAGAGTATCAAATGATTTAATTTTATTGCCAGAAAAAAAGAAATGAAAGAATAAATTACATAACAGCTGATTCCCCAATATCTACTAGAGGACTGCTTTTCGTTCCAAAGCAACGACCTTGGAAAGAGATAAAAACAAAAAAGCAAATAAGTATGTTTAATACCCATTCATAGCCATGTTGGATCCTACTCTATTACTAACAATGCCATAAGCATAAGCTGGTGCTTTAGTTGATTTTCAATCATGTGTCTGTTTTCGTGTTGAGGATTAAATTGCAGCTTTAGGGTCACTTCTACCTGCCTGAGGGACAGCGAGACAGAGAATGCTGAGACCACATTGTCCTGGTCACAGCAGCCTGAGTCAGAAGAGAACATTTGATGCACTCTGAGGCATTTATTTTGAGCTGCAAAACAGCACTGACATGTTAAATAACTTCAACCTGACAGGAAGAAGTAAAGGATAAGATGAAACGGTCTGTAATCGATACCAGAATACAAGTAAACATGCAATGTTTATTTGTTTATCACTTTTCAGTTGTCACTTTGAGACTGCAGCATGATGATGATGATTTACTGTGAAGAGATGTTGATGCAAGTGGTGGAGGCCATGACTAGGCTGAAGAAACAAAACAAAACTATCAGATAGACGACAAAACCAGTAGTGGCCGAATCAACAACGTGGTATACTGTTGATGAAGAAGCACTGCTCACTCTGCTCAGCTCAGCAACACTAAAAGCTCTAAAAAGACCACATATGACAACTAAAGGGAATGATTGCAGAATTGTTTCTATTGTTAAGAAAAAAAACCCCTTTGTAACATCTAAGTCAAGAATAGTCTTGTTAAGGTAGGAGTATCATTATTAAGGTCTGCAATCAAGTGAATTTACAACAAACTACAAACCACTGGTTACACTTAAGAACAAGAAGGTTTTAAAAAAATCTTCTGACCAATTAATTCAAGGTGTTCTTGTATCAGCTGGAAAGAGAAAAGTATGAAGAAGAAGAGAAACAGCTCATGTTCTGAAGCATAC